GGTAAGTGGCGGCCGCGTGCGACCGAGGCTCGGAACGTGGATCCGGGGATCCATGGAATGGCTTGAGTTAGGAAGAGCTTTATGGCCATCTCTTTGCAACCTCCTGCCGTGGGCAGGGACACCGTCCTCTACACTGGGCTGTTCAGAGCCCCATCCAACACTTCCAGGGATGGGGCAGCCGCAGCTTTGCAAGCACCGGTTCCAGGAGCTGTTGGCATGTGGGTTCTGCCCTGCGGTGTGCGTGAGTGTTCTGGAGCAAAGCACGCCCCCCCCTTGAGAAAGGGAGCATTGCACATGAAGTCAGTGTACAGGATTAGTGTTCCCTCAGAATTAAAACTGCTCGTCCTGTGTGTCATCAGGATCAGAGCATCATCATCTTCTCAAAATTTTTCGGGTTTGCTGGAAATTAATTCTGAACAAAACCACTTTGCTAATAGCACAAACAACATTCTTGGGCTGCTGGCTTAGGTTTTAGGACTACTTGATGTTAATCATTGCATGTGACACCTCTTGTGACAAGTGACTTCTATGAGCTGATAAATTGAAATATAACTCTTGTTTCTTTTCCAGCTGAGGAGAAGAAAGAAGAGGAAAAGAAGGAAGAATCAGAGGAATCTGATGATGACATGGGCTTTGGTCTTTTTGACTAATTAGTTTTGTACCAGCCTGTAATAAAGAACATCTGCTTGTACTCTTGTCTCAGGTGGATGTTTGTGTCCAGGTTACCTGCAGCTCCTGAAGCTGCTGTCATGAGTGCTCAGCTGGGGCTTTACAGCTTCCCCTGTCAGTTTTTTGGTGTTTGACAAGAACAGTTAAAGTTCTAAAAGGCACCCACAGCCTGTGGATGGAGGGAGGGATGAAATCCCAGTGAGCAGGGGTGTGGTGACAGCTGTGGCACAGCAAGGCCAGGGGCTTTTCACAGTGGGGAAAGGGCTGCAATGCTCAGGTGTAGGGCTGAGGTTGTGGAAGGTACAGGATGTATTTACCTGGTGTGGGAGGTGATGTCACACTGCAATGGAAAGGAGCTCTTAAAAGGCATGAATTTCATAAATAACTTCTGAACAGGACTTTTCCAGAGCAGTTGAACAAGGGAAGAGTCATGTTCCAAGTGGGTATTCCAAAGCATTTGAGGCATTACAGAATTCCAGGTGTATAAGAGACACCAAAGTTGTAGAGGGGGATTGTTGCACAAGCACTGATAGACTCTGCACTGTCCCACCTCTTACATTTACAAAACAACTTCATGACAGAATGGTAGGTATTTGTATTGTCAATTCATTTTTAAAAAGACACAGGTACCCAGGGAAGAATTCTTTTGCAGTGCACACACATGAAATAAAGAGTCAGAGTTTCACTGGTAACACCTTTTTAATAGGTCAAAGTAACTGTACAGTTCATTATATTCTTCCTGAGAATAATTTATATCCCTCAACAGCAAAAAGGGAGTGTGGTTTTTATTTTAACAGAACAGATGGCATAACTGGAAAACCAAGGAAAATCTAATTACACTGCTCTACTGTAACTCCTCCCAGGCAAGATAGACAAAAGGATGGGTTAGTTAACTACAGTGGGTTTAAAATAGTCATCATGGCTTTAATCTGTCTTTATAAATTATATAAAAATGGGGGACATGAATGGTTACAGGTCTCCTCTAAATGCAGCTCTGAATTGCTCTGGTACAAAGCAGCATTTTCACTTCCAAGGAAAACAACATTGCTACAAAAGAACTGGCACGTTATCCTGGTGAAAAACTCGAGTGTTCAGTTGTGTCCTACAGCTAGTTCCAAACAAATGCTTCACACAGTCACGTCAAAGTAAAAGGCAGGAAGATGAAGAGGGCTTTAGTTTGTCTTGAAATGACTGAAGTCTTGAAAATATAGCTTTTTATTCTTTCTCTGTAAATCATGATTAGCATATTGCGACATAAGTGTTCTAATAAAAAAAATTCCAGTCTGGATAGTTCATATACTGTGGGCAAGAATTCTCAGCCCTGAGGTTTCCCCGAATTCTTCACTTCACAATATCTTTCTCCCATCTGCTGCTCCAACAGTTTTGGCTCCGAGGCCCGGGGGCAGCTCAATGGTGGCAGCTCGGTGCGAAGCGTGTCCCATGCGATGACGGAGTGACTGCCCCGTGCCCCAGCTCCGAGGGCTCCTGTACAAACTCAGCTGCTGATAACCACGGCCCGAAGCCAGCCCGGCCCCAGCAGAGCCACTCGGTTCAACTGTTGCAATGAGAGACCCCCAGGGGGCGGCCAGGACTGCGCTGGGTGAATCCTCACTGCTGGTGGAAGGTGAAGGAACATCCTGGCGCGAGCAGAATTCCGAGGCTGACGATGCTCTTCCCTCAGTGCTTAGTGCGGTCTGGACTGGCTGATTTTCAGTCTGGCTTGATCAATGACATCCAGCAGGTTTTTGGCATCCACAGCCAGGGCGTGAGCAGCCGTCAGCATTTGCTTCTTGTACTCCTGCTGCAGGCTGGTCATGACGTACTGCTGGGCCAGCTTCATCTTGTTGATGAGCTCGGCCAGGTCCGAGTTCAGCAGCTTCTGTGCCATCTCAATCTGGAACGAGACAACCCCATCAGCCCTGGGGGTTTGAAACCCTGCACTCACAGCAATTCCACCGAGCCACAGCCCCTGCTGATCCCTGACTGCAGCTGGGCTGTTTCTGCAACACCACGGGGAGCAGCAGATGGAATTTGGCACCTGCTGAGCCACCCACTGTTTAACAGCACCAAGACCCAAGTACTGGATTTTAAACCACAACTTGGCATTAACAGCCTGTAATGGGTTTTCAGGTTCTTGTCAGCTTTACTCTTTTTACTACTGAAGCAGCTCTAAAGCATAGAAGCAGCTCTAAAAATGAAACAAGAAGGCAGATACAGGTTACTTAAGCACACAGCTAAGTCAGCCTGAACCTCTGAGATGGCACTTACAGAACCCCACTCATTCAAGGTTTGGAGGAAAACTGTTTTAATTACGAACTTCATTGAAAACTCTCAGTCACTCCTCAACCAGAACTACAGACAACCTTCCAGCTGTACCAAGCTCTGCTCAATTACCTGTTCAGTGACTTGGTGTGCAAGCAAATGACAGGTGACATCTGCACTAAGAATTAACCCTCAGCTGATTGATTCCCTGCTGTGGAATACTGGGGTTTATGTCACTTCCTATAGGTGACACCTATATCCAGTTTTAAGAATCCTCACTAATACCAAGCCTAAGTTCACGCAGCAATTTTAATTAAATAATTTTATGCAGAATTATAACCCAGGAGTTCAGTCTGCTCAGGGAACCAAAAGGCCTGTGCCAAGAAAAGAGCACCAAAACCTGTCCCAGTGAGCTGAGGATGACTGGGAGGGCAGTGGCTGAGCAGCAGGTAGGGAGAGCTCCACGTACCTCTCTGTGGGTGCTTGCAGGGAGCACTGGGAGGGTCTCATCTACTGTTGCCAGTAAAGTTCTTAGTGCCAGACCAACCTCCTAAGAAAAAAAAGAGATTAAAGAAATAAACTTCAAAGACTTGGAAGAAATGGATGAGAGAATTTTAGGAGTGCAAGAGGCACTGGATATATTTAATTGCTCATCTGGATAAGGAAAGAGTTGGAACATGCCTATGGCACTTCACAATCCCGCCTGCAATTGTGTCTATTAGCATCAAAACAAGATGCCAAAGGCTTAAGAACAAGTTTTTCTCATAAAAGTGAAAATGTGGAGAAGACAGCACACTACTCAGGAGCCTGGACAAGCACAGGCAAACTGGGCATGAAGCAGTGCTGTCCACAATAGTGGGCATGGAATCCAAAGCTCCAGCCTCTGACCACATGAACACAAACAGCTTTTCTACTTCCAGACACCCCAAACACCCCAAGTTCAGGCACTGCCCCCATACCTTCACCATGGGCACATACTCCTCGGGTGGGGCCGGCTGGATCTTACTGGACATTTCTATCACCGCCTTCACCAGCCCCGTGACGTTCTCGTAGACTTTGTCATTGGAGCGGTCCAGGTTGGCCGTGGGGGGAGGGCTGATCTCCTGCGGCTGGATCTGCAAGCACAGAGCGGCTGCTGGAGCTCCCGTCCCCAGCAGGTGGGGCTCGGCCACCTCCCAGCCGGGAAGGGCTCGGCTTCCCCGGCTCCCACAGCCCCGCCCGGCCCCGCTGCTGCCTGAGCTGGCTCCGGGATGGAGGAGGTTTCTTTCAGTTCTTCTGACTGAATTTGATCTCTGAAATGACACTGGACAACTTTCACCAGGGTATCCCTGAAGAGCTTCCAGTGTAACACTCAACAGAGAAGGGAATAATTTGAGGCATGAGAGTACTGAGTACTTAACATGTCTCAGTGGTTCAAGTTCCGCTGCAAGGGCAACAGGTATCAGGTCCCTCATTCCAGAAGGGATTTTTGTGCTCCAAAGAAATGTCAGAGCACACATTAACATACTGATATGTTAAAGAGAAAACTGGTATGTTAAAGAGAGAACTGGAATGAGATCATCCTTCCAAGCCAAACTATCCCATGATTCTATGACATTATTCTTTTGTTAGTGAAAATCTACAGCAGGTTAACAAAAATGGTGTCACCAGTACAGGTGGGAAACATGGAATGGTTTTAGACATTTGATTTCCAAGAGATCAGAAAAAACTCCTAAGTTAAAAATCCTATGGTCTTTACTCAAGTAAAACTTCCAACAAGTCAGGTAAGTCTGGAGTTAAATCCAAGACAGACAATTAATCCCAGGTCTGAAATGAAACAAACTTTGGAAACATCCTTTATAAGGTCCTCAGTATCTCAGAACTGTAAAACCACCAAGCATCCGAGTCTCCTGCAGCTATTCCCTACAATGGGATGCCCAAGCAACAACTCAGTGTGAGCAGCAAGTTAAAAAATTCCTGATTTCCTCCTGGATCTGAGATGGCTCATGGCACTTCAGCTCCCTACACTGGGTTACTGCTGGCTCTCAGGACTGCTCCCAGCTCCAGGAAAGCTTCACTGCAAGCCCCTGATCCACTGCCCTGAGGAAACTGTGGAATGCTTTGGTGAGACTTTCTCTAAGGAAGGAGTGCAGGATTCAGTACAAGGTGATTCCATTTTGTAGCATTTCATTAAGTGGATACCAACAGCTACCACAGAGATTCCATTTAGTGCATTGATCAGAAAACACCTTAGGAAAAAGAACACTGTAATTGCTTCAATCAGCAGGGAAAGGCTGTGATTCGAATCAGTTTCAGCAATCAAGAAGTTAAAACAGTCATTTGGCAAAGTCACATGCAAGGACATTTTGGAATAGGGCACGGACACACACGCTCACGCGCTGCTTACCCTCCATGGCTATGGTTGAGCAGAATGTGGGGGGAGGTTAAAGAAATTTACCAAAAGAAGGGAAAAAAAGAAAAACAATATTAATAAAACTCAGCAGGAAAAAAACAAAAAAACAAACAAACCCAAAACATGTGTAGCAATCAGAGACCAGTTAAAAAGCCTGCAACGAAAACGCATCCTCACCAGAACTGGCAGCCACCAGTGTTAGCTCTGGGCCCTGTGTGACAGAAGAGCTGCTGTGCACCCCTGTGGGCAGTGGAAGGGTTTGCCATGCACCCCATGCTTCCTCCTGACTCAACACACGGGCAGGAGATCATGCAAAGCTGACAGGAGCAAGCCAGTGTGGCAGACTGCTGAGTGGAGCAAGGGCCTGGGAAACCTGTCCTGGGAACTCTGCTGGTCCCTCTGCACAAACAGTCCAGGATACAAATTTTGTATTCATCTTTCTGGAACTTCTTGTTTAGGTAAGTCATGATGGGAAATACATGGGTGATTTAACTGTGCAGGACTTGTTCACAAGAACTCATCACAGCCATGGCCAGGAACTACCCAGAACCCATTCCAGATGATTCCCAACCCTCAGAACTCCACACCCAAACTTTTCAAGACTATGGACATTGTGTTTCTCAGCCCTTGGTTTCTCTTTGTTTATCCCCAATATCAACAACACTACTCTGCAGAATTTTGAGTTTCTTTGTGGAACTGCTGACTCTGCCTCACCCAGGAGCTCTCTGGAGCCTGCCCTGAAGGCTCCCAAGGGCAGGAAATTCCAATCCTCTTCATCTGTGCTCTCCCTGAAAAGGGAGTCTGAACTGGGGGTACAGAAAAGGGAGTCTGAAATGAACCCCAGAAGCATCTTCAGTTTAGGACAGCAACCATTAACAAAGCTATGCCAAAAAGTAATGGGCTGTTTTCTTCAAGGGGCATAAAACAATCCAATTCCAAGAAAATTTTGACAGAAGAAAAAAAATCAGCCCTTCTTTCCTACTCAAAGAGCTATTTAGTACACAAATCCTGTTCACTTGTCACTACTGATGTCTCTGACTGCTCAGGTTTGTTTGTTGTCAAAAGGATTTATTTCAAAAACATTTTTTCATGTTCCAGCATCAGCATTTAGAAAGGAAATTTCAGAGAAGCTGAGTTTAGGAACACATCTGTTACTGCTTTTTGACATTTTCTGAGGCTTGGCAGCTTGTAAAGCACTGGCATCAGTTTATAATAAATAATCCTGCTCAAATTCACCACTGCTGGCTATTTACACTGGTTCTTAAACATTCCAATAATCCCAGAACACGAGCAGGAGTGAGGCAGGCTGGCAGTGGCTGGGATCAAGTTGTGCTGAACACACTGCTCTGGTGGCAGTTCTGAATTTCATGTTCAGATGAACTGGGCTTTTCCTGTATTTCCTTAAATCACCTAAAATAAGGGTCACTTATCCCAGCTGCTGTGGCCACCACACCATGGATTCCTGTGCTTTACTACAGGCCTGGCAGGGCTGTTTCCTGGAGATTAGAAAGGTGGCAGAGTCCCACAGGCAGGAAACAGCACACAAAGGGATGATTTTGGGAGTGCCTGACACCCTTAGGAGCTGTTCTGTGGACACCAACTGCAGCAGGGGCAGGACATTGCACCCTGCAGCAGCACCTCTGCTACAAAACCACTGTCAAGTTTCAGTTTTGGCTTTATTGCTATTTATGGGAAATGAAAGAACACATCAGGAAGTATCTCCCTCCCAGGTCAGACAGCCCATTTCCCCTCTTCCCTTGTTCCCCAGAGCTGGTAGGATTTGAGGAGCTCTGGTGCTGCAGCAAGAACTTTTTGAGCACTGCAGGAGAGGTCTCACCTCCTGTGACCAAGGACAGGAGACTTTGGTACCATCTGAGCAACTGGGATCCCTGGGCATGCTCCATCCTGCCCAACAGGGAGCTGGGTCCATTTGGGACATCTCATCATTCCAGACTAGAAATAAGCTCACCTGGGCAGGTTCTAGCTGAGGAGCCCACTACATCACAGCCAGGGAGACCCTGAGTTCCCTCCCCACTCCCCTGGAGCTGTTTGCCCCATGACATTATTTACTTATGAATTCTGTCCCCTTTGCTTTCCATGCTCTCTACTTCAGGAACATCAGATTACCTCAGAGCTGTCACATTTGATTTGCTGGGGGTATTTCACTGGTAATGAATAAAGTGGCCCTGGTAATGTTCCATTTTCTGGGTGTTCCCCTACCTTCACACCCTCGTTGTAGCTGTCCATGGGGCTGTTGAGGCTGGCCAGGCTGCCCAGGTGCCCGGGGGCTCCGGGGCGTGGGGGCTTCTTTGGCGGAGCCGCGTGATCTGCGACAAAAAATTGTGATTTTAGAGCAGCAAGGTGTCAGAGGCACCTGGCACCCTCCTGCTCTGCACTGCACAGGCTGCATGGGCTCTGCTTTGCCAGAGATGGGAGATCTTTAGGTGTGCTGCAGGAAATGCACTGTTTGTGGGAGCTGCACTTTAAGAGAGCAGGATTGTTTTAGTTAAATATTTGAAACTCCTTTTGTGGGGTAACTGCTGCTGCTCTGGGCACAGCTACCCCAGCACTGTGATGGTGTCATCCCTGGTCCCACATGCTGTGTGAATCTGGGAAACTGGATTTCTTCCCAGCAGCAAATTTTGTGATTCACTTTTGAGACTGAGAAACGCAATTTTAGGTGTCTACTGCTGTTTGACATGTCTGAACTCCACCCTGGGTGAATTCCCACTCTGACTCAGATGCTCTAGACATTTCCTGCTTGTTGATCTAAACACTTCCTTGGCTTTGCTGACTGCATGTCTGGGGCCTGCATGGGGAACCTGAACACACAGCACACAAACATCAATGTGTGTGGAACTGAATCCTCTCTGTATGGAAATATTGCCATGAACTTTGTTGACTACTGCTGCTACAAGACTTGTAATCAAATACTCAAAATGTCAGCATCTGCATTTACTGCTTACCTGGTTTTCCCACAGGCTGATATATGTGCTGGTTACCAGCCTATAAAATAAAATAAACATATAAAGTAGTTATTGCAGTGCTTGCAGCTCTCATCAGCACTAACTTAATCTCAATACCAAGAGCAGCCAGCTCTCAGCACATTTCCTACCAGCTGAAAATAGATCCCAATTCACCATCATCAGTCCCTTACTACAAGTCTATTACTTACAGAGCAATAAAAGAATTTGCATGTATTTTGTACTGCTCACAACAGCCCTGGCCTCCACATTGCAATTCATCCTTATTATTCAAAGGTGGTGAGACAGTCCCAGGCATTTTCAGTCTGTGCCCACAGATGCAACTGCAGAGGTCATGGCGGTGAAGGAGAAATGACAACAGAGAAACTGCAGAACTTCCTGCTGAATGCTTCTGTAATGGGAACACAGTTTGGAGCTGGTTTGCTTTTTGGTTTTGCTGCAAAGCTCTTACTCAAGGCCCATTTGCCCATCCACTTGGAAGAATTTAGTAACAGACTGAAGTGACTTTCCCTGGTAAGGGCATTCATCCATCCTTCACACCAACCTCATCACCGCTGTGAGCAGCCCAAGAGTCAGCACAGAATTAAGGAATATCTCTGTGTCCACTGCCCTGGCCCTCAGGGGTGATTTTAACTTCCCAAAATTCAACTGGGAATATCATACAGTGGACACAAAGAGGTCCAGGAAATTCCTGTGAAAGTAACTTCTGGATGCAGGTATGAAGGAATACTGGGAAAGGTGATTGCTGGAATTGCTGTTTGTAAACAGAGAGGGACTCATGGGCCAAGTGCTGAGCAGTGGCTACCTCAGTCATGGCAACCACAAAGGAGTTGAGCTTCAAATTGCTGGAGGTAGGAGAAAAAATTCCAGCAAAACCTTGGCTATGGAGAGTGGACTTTGGGTGCTTTCCAGGAAATAGTGAGGTTCCCTGGGAATCTGCTTTTGAAAGAACTGGAGTCCATGGATGTCAGGTGATTTTCAAGAGCAATCTTTCAAGAGCACAATTCAGAGTGCTGGACATCAAGCAATCAGGGCAGAAAAGGGCCTGGCAGAGCAGGGATCTTCTAGAAGTTAGGAGGACAAAGGAAATGTACAGACTTTGGAAACAGGGACAGGCAATCCCTACAGAGATGCTGTTTGCCACTGCAGGGAGAGAACTGGTGCTGACAAAGCTTGACTGCAGTTTCACCTGGACAGCACCACAAGAAGGGCTTTTTAAAAATGTCAACAACAACAGGAGATGCAGAAATGACACTGGTCTGTCGCTCTGTGAGGTTGGTCACCTCAAAGACAGGGACATGAAATAGAGACATTCAATCATGTCATTATCTTTGATTTGTGCTGTTAACCTAAATATTTCAAATCTCATAACCCCAGGGGGAAAGGAAGAGAGCAAGAGAGAGGCAGAATAATGGTATCCCACTAGAAGAATTCTTGCATTTTTACTTCCACAAAATTGTGTATTGAAAGTACAGGTCAAAAAAATGTGATCAGACAGGAACTGCCCAAATGTGGGTGGTAACTTCTCATTTGTATCACTGCCCAGTTTCTCATCCTCTGTCAGAAACTCAAATTGACTCACAGCAGTAATAAGCATTTCCCACTGCAAATGAAGTCAGAGTACGTTCTGAATCTACTGAGAACTACAAGATCAAATTCTGTGACTAGAAATTCAGTTACCATGAATTACAGTCTCTTTTAAACCCATTTTGTCCATGACCATGAAGTGTTTTCTTCACACTCTTTCAAATGAGGTGCTATATTGGACCACCTCATCTGGGCAGGCAGGACTTTCCCTGGAAACAGTTTGGGATCTGTAACCTGTGGCATGACCTGAAAATCTCCTGGGCATCACAAAGCATCTTCACAAGCAGCACAAAATGCAGCACACTTTTCTTGCTCTTATATAAAGATGCAACAACAGCCAAGGCCTAACAGTAACTAAGAATCTTCTCCAAATTCATGGAAAAAATCTTAGGAGCTTCCAGACATGAATGTCTCCAGAGACTGTGCTGCAGTGTGTCACTGATATACTCATTCATGACTGTCTTGGCTGCAAATGCAGGAAGAATCCCTAAATTCCTAAAAAGTGAAGAAATGCTTAAGCCAAAGCAGGAATTTACAGTCCCATCCCAAATGAAACAGGAGGGTGGATTTAAAATATCCACTGCTTTCCTGGGGAGAAAGAGTGGATGAAGCACCAGGTTTGTGTGATGAGCAGTGCCTAGCCTAATCCCCCTTTTCCAACAGTATGATCCAGAGATTCCAATGGCAATTCAACAATTGAAAAAATGGTTTTAATTAAATTAAACAGTCAGGAGTTAAGCCACTAAGAAAGAACACCCAAGCTGCAGCTGCTGTCTGGGAATAAAGGAATGGCTGTGGGGTTTATTCCAATTGTTTCATAGTGGATCATTTACCCCAAACAGATTTCTGAGTAATACAACAGCAACATTTACATTCCTTATGAGAAAACCCTTCAGATATTTAAACAACTGCATGAGTTACTTTATTCCTGCTTCCTGTTGACAGAATATGCAGAAAACAATCCCCATTTTTAAATAAAAGGCCCAATTCTACAGCACATGAGCACTTGGAAATTATTGTAACACATTTGTGGAAATATTTTAATATTTGTTTCAAGAACAGCTTCAAGGGGAAAAAACAAAAAACAACCAACAAACCCCAAATCCCCCAAACTGCTGCATGAACCACTTTGCTGTGGCTGCAGTTCCCACAGAAGCTGAGCCTCTTGGAAAGCTGTACCACCATGTAATAACAGTGGAAACATTTAGCAAAACCTTTAAATCATCTCCCACCCCCAAGCCAGTGTACAGAACATTCTAGCAGGAAACTGGAGGAAGAGCTGGGAGAGGAAAAGATCCCCCACACTTACAGGGCCCTGCAGAGCTCCGTCCTCGCGGTCAATGCTGCCTCTGGAGTGCCTCATGTCGGGTTTCTGAAACAGAAATCCAGGGATTCACTCTGTGCTCTGCTCACCCAGTGGCGTGCCCTTGGCTTAGAGGCAGTGCAAAGACAGGAGAATGCTGTTCCAAATGCACACTGACAAATCCAGATGTCATTTCACTCCAGCCCTTCGCCCCCGCTGGCTCCTCCTGCAGCTGTCCCCAGCACAGGACTCAAAATGCTCCAACAAATATCCAAAGTACCCCTGAGCTGACACAACATTGGAAAATCTGCATTTTAGTTTTCTCAAAGGCAGCAAAAGTTGAGTTTTTTTCTGAAAAATAAAAAAGCTTGCTTCCCAACAGCAAAATTCCAACCACAGGATGAGAAACGCTGCACATTAATTCCCGCTTCCTGCCCCAGGATGGCTTAAATGTACTTGGCTCCCTCTGCAAGCAAATGGGGCCAATTACTGGAGCTCTCTAAACACTCCATGTGGATACAGCCAGCCAACAAAGCCATCCAGATGCCCTTTTCTTCCCATACAAGCAACAAACATATTTATATTTCATGTGTTTTCAGCACAATACAGGAATCCGGGGCTTGGTCATTTCTAAAAGCAAAAATAAAACCACACTGATTCTGATTTTTTTTTTTTTTTCTTCACACATGAACCAGTAATTTTTCTCACAGAATATGCAAGAGTTGGAAGGGACTCACAAAAAACACTAAATCCAACTTCTGGCCTTGCACAGGAAAACCCCACTTATCTCCCCAGCAAACCCAGGTATGTTTTCTTTATTCTTCAAGGACAACATTGATTACATGGGAAGACAAAGGAATAGTGGATGTGAAGCCAAAGTTAACACTGATCTGAACACACAAGCTCAGCAAAATTACAGTGTGCTTCTTGTGCACCAATTCTGGCGCTTAAAAACAGGATTTATCTGACTCTCTCCTACAAGACTGGATGAGGAGTCACTGATAACTTAAGAGATAAAGTGGTCACACATAATATGGAAATAACATTTTTTTAATTCAGAGAAATGTAGATGTAACTAAACACAGTGTCACTAAACTGACCACATGTTCTTTCAGGGTTAATTTCAGGGGACAAATACAATCCTATCCTTTTCTTGTTTTAAGGCTATTTGAGATTCCTTCCTCCTGTAAGAATACTAAAGAATAATTCCAACTCACAAATCCTACTAAATGACCCTAAAAACCAGAAGGGCAGAAAGAACCTGCAAAAACACACTAATATTGATCTTCTGTCATTAAAAACAGCCCAGTTGTGCTGCCATGTCAGAATGGCTCACATTTGGGATTTTCATTCAATCTTCTGCAGACTGAGTGGGGCACAGCCAGAGACAGTCACTGTCTGAAAGAACTTGCAGATTAAAAATAGAAAATCATATCAGACAGGGAAATATTTAACCCCCTCTTATCATGAAGAACTGAAACAGACACAAGTGATCTCCTCATGTTTTTCCAGGAATTTGTGACAAATTTCAAGATGAAACTTACCATGACTCATCTCCAGTTTATTTCCTTATTACGATAAATGAATTCTTTTCTGATTAAAGTCTCATTTGATATGAGTATGTCTGGAAGTTCACTAGACAGGTAAAGTCATGATTCTCACAGTATTCTTCAGCTAAATCAAATAGTTACCCTTGTTAAATATCCATATAAAGCATACAACAAACTACATTTCTATTACCCTGATGCTCACAATTTGCCATCGTTTCATGTTCATTTCTAGCCAGGGAAGTGCCCAAACTCTTTGGAAATAACCAAAGACTGTTTTATCACAGGGGTCTTTAATGCTCTTTACACTTACAGCAATTTATTACTCAAAAAATGCATCTTAAACCAGGAATGGTTTGGGCTGGAAGGGACCTTAAAGGTCTTCTCATTCCAACCTCCTGCCAGGAGCACCTTCCTCTGGACCATCTAGAGCACATCCCTCAGACCAGAATCCAGAGACAATGAAATATCGAGCATTTTAGAAGAGTCAGAAGCACAAAAATGCACAAAAGTCCAAGTAACAGGACTTTTTTTCCTAGTAATATAAGCAAAAACTGAAATTAGCAGACACAAAATCCATCTCCTCCTCTCCTTGTCTTGCTGAGAAGGTCCCTCCTTCCAGCATCCAAAGGCTCCAAGTCACAGGAACAATTCATTCCCCAAGTCTCCACCAGCAGCCAACATGCAGAATGTTGAGTTTCCTCCAGGACACCCCATCTTGGACAGCACACAACCCACAGCCCAGGAATGGCTGTGCAGAAAAGCTGAAAATGCTCACCAAATATCACAAAAATGGTGATGATTAACTTGGTCCCCACCCAAACAAGGCTGTGGTGCTGCCCTGGCATCTCCAAGAACCTGATCCCAAACTGCAGATCCCAAGTGCCAGGGGGTGATGGCAAAGCTGAGGGACCCTGAGCAGCTACACCTCAGAAATAAGGAAAAAATCCTTTAGCAGGACATAAACTTCTTTCAACTTCCACAAGCATTCTCCTCTGCTCCATCAAAACCTGGGCAGTCAGGAACACATGGAACAAAAGAGAAGGGTTCAACTTTTGTGTCCAATGACTGAGAAAAGTCCCAATTCTATATTTACTGATTTTAATGTTTAAAAAAATAACTCCCATTTGACTAAATGATTTTCTGGTTTATTCTTTTGTGTAGATGTGGAAATGTCAGAAGGCAAATTATTTTACAGTAAAAGTGATTTTGATGATCAAACTCCCATTGTATTTTAAAGTATGATTCAGCAGCAATTCTTCCACTTCTGCAGTTGCAAGAGCTTTGAGCCCCTCATGCTGCCACAAGAACAATGCATTGCTGAATTTTTAATTCTGTGATCCTTCAGCTGTTTATTGCAACATTCTCTAGGTCAACACTCAGCCTCACACCAAACCTGTTCTGTACTTCACCATTTCACAGCCCCAGAGAACACCCTGCCACCTTCCCAGTCCCTGCCATGGCTCTGAACCTCCCAAAAACCGCAGAGATAAAGAACTGTATGTTGTTAAAATCTTCCAGAAACACAAAGTCCTTCAAAAGTAAATGGATTTTTTTTTAAATAAATAAGCCTGCTATCTGAAATCTTTGGAAATGTCAAGAGGAATTTTCAGACAGGATGTGTATGTTGACAAAGTGGGACATAATCCACTTTATTTCCAGTATTTCTGGTTACTTGCTAATAAAAGAATATGTAAGCATTGGAGTTCTCAGGACATGCTGAATTGTAATGTCTTGGTGGGATTTTCTCAGGCTTAAAATTAGAATCTTATTTTAGCAACAGTTCACATCAATTAGACTTCAATTGAAGTTCTCAGTGTCAAAATAGGACAAAAACCACAACTATGTGGGAATTTCAGAAAAAAAACTAACGAACTCAAGCATGATAAGGAAAATATGTGAGTTATTTCTTCTTAGGCTATCCCAGAAGGGACTATAAATTTCTTAGTACAAAACTGTTCTGTCTGCTGAGGAGTTACTAACAGGCATGCACATATATATCTTTATTTATCTGATTAAAAATAATGTACATAACATCAGCCCAGCCAGAAAGGAAGGTTCAAAGTGGGAACTCCAAATAAAGGAAGGAGAAGGCAATTAAATAGGCCCAAAAGAAGAGATGTGTAAAATGTTCAGAGATAATTTTTGATTGTTTTAGATTGTTTGTACTGCAGCCATTTCATCTGAAGGTACCCTGGACAGAGACAGTGTCCTGTAATGATGGGCATCAAGCTTTGGGTGCAGCAATGGTTTGTGTCTCCACTTCAGCTTTCTCAAAAATAACTCACCTATTTCTGTCCTTCCTGGAGATGATTCTCTCCACAGCACTTTTATCAATAGAGCATGAAAATTTAATGACCACAAGTTTTAATCAGTGTCCATTAAAGCTGGGAGAGCTGAAGTGCTGCCTCCCCTCCCTGTCAGGGGCTGGGGTGTCATCCTGGATCCCCCAAATCAAACCCTCCACCAGTTCTCTCCTCACTCTCCAATGAATGTATTTGGAACCGTATAAAATCAAGCACTTCTTTACTCTTCAGCTTTTACACAATGGATTTATTTTCATTAGGGAGCTTCCCACGAGGAGAGACCTGTTTGTTTCCCCTTTTTACAGCAGAATTTCCAGAATCCTGGATTCTGTTAAGGCTGCAGCTTGAAAACAACATTTTTATCCTTTCAAGCACTAACTAGTCCCATGTTCTCCAAGGACCAGTTTCAGGCAAACTGCTTACACTGATAACAAGCTCCCCAAAGACCAGCACATTTCCATTGCAATGCCACTGCACTGAATTCCCCATCTGGGGAGTCCCCTCCAGCAGCATCAGTGCTGTTTATCCCTGTACCAATGTGCTGTGAGTTGTGTTTTCTCCCTGCAGAAGCAGCAATAAATTTCAAGTCATGAGCAAGTTGGTGTTACTCTGGGGAAACAAAAATTGTACCAACAGAAACCCACAGAGGATTTTCCATCTTGTTGCAGTGTCCTACAATAAATCATTTGCAGTTGCTCCCCTGTGAGTCCAACTCTCAGCAGTATAAGTGGGATGTGCTGTAGAGCCTGAGGATTGGGTAAATAGAGCTGTTTTTGGAAACAGACAGTTTACACTGAGAACACCACACATGGTTACAAAAGTTAAATATTATAGTTAAGTAAGTTAAATATTAAAATCTGACTCTATTCTGTTGTTCTCTGTGCTGAAAAGGACAAATATTATTTGAAACTTGTCTAAAGCAGGCAAGGGAGGGCCAGATTTCTTCTCTCTAAATCACATGGAACGAAAATAGGGGAGGCCCTTCTTCCCAGGGCAGAAATGTTGTCACTCACTAGAGGACACAAGGAGCATGTGTGTGTAACACCTGGCTTATTTCTATGCTGGACATCATTACATGGCCTTAATGCCTCAATAAATCACTTATTTTCTCATGTTTGGACTCTCATGTCTGAATTGTGGATATCTTCAGGAGACCTGCCAGGCTTCCAAGAGTGACTCCCCACTATGACTTTTCCACATCTTCACTTCCTCAGGGCTAAATCTAGAAACTCACCCACATTCCTTTTCCAAGAAACACCCACCTATAAACTGAATATTCTCCTGACACACATCCTGCTATGGGCTCAAAGGCACCCTGTGACTATCAGCAGTTCATTTAGCTCCTAACAGGGGGTATAAATTTGTAATAGGCATCCAAGGGTGAACCTCAAAGTCTGTACAGTCAAAATGTTAATGTGGAAAGAAAAAGAACTGAAGTTTGGATTCCAATTATGGAATCCAATTCCTCAACAAAATAGATGCAAGAAAGATGGTGTTTCCTCACAATAAAACTAACACAAAATGAAAACACAGCAAATGTCTTCCAAACAGATGCTATGAGTGTATTACAGATAAAAGAAAAATCAGCAAGTTCCTTCTCAATGTCAATTTGGGGGATGATAAACACCCTAATGGTCCAGAGACTGAATCAACAAACACTTCAAATAATCATTTATTCTACACAAAAAATCTTGGAGTTTTTGAAAGTTCCCACACAATCTACTGCCACCCCTGCAAGGTCAATGCTCCTTTCCCAAGAAAACTGATTCCACAAAAAGTTCTTGAGCATCTTTTAAGTTTTAATTGTCAGTGGGATGAGTTTGACCTCCTGGGTTGTGTAGGTCACAAGTAAGTGGTGCCACACAAGACTGGAAAAGCTAATGCCTAAATTAGGGAAGAAATTTTCCTTTCCCCTCCCTCTCTTCAGGCCAAGCAATCTGGGCACAGGGCTTTGTTTGCTGTCACCCCAACGGGAAAATGCAAATTCCCAAATGGACTTAGAAGGAAACCAGTTTCGACACCCATTAATCAAAAGTCACTTCTTAGCTCAGGCACAATGTGGATCTCAGCTAGAACATGTCCTGGACATGGGAGCATCTACCAGCAGCTCTAACACAGGAGATTTCCAAACTGAAACATTCCCTGAAATACGCCTAAGGTCAAGCACAGGGCAGCTGTCTGTCACAACCCACACACAGCACTGTAAATTGTCCGCTGTCCCCTGAGCCTCAGGCACCCACAGGCTCCTGGTGACATTCTACTCCCACCTTCTCCTCCATCTGTAGCCATCAGCCTCAAGCAGGAGAAATTTAACACTTAACTTGAATTTTGACAACTGGGAAGCCAGAGCTGAACCAAAAACCATACACCAGTGGCACTGATAACAATTCTCTGTGGAACTGCAGAGAAACACCACCAGGACATCCCATTACCAATGATTTCTTCTTCCTGCTCGTGGTGAGGTTCAGAGCATTTCCCTCCTCACAGAGCTCTCTCTTATACTATTTCTTCCCACTAACATGTGCCATTATTCCTCCAGGGCAAGGCTGGGTACAACTCTTAGCACAGCCACAACCCTCAAATGGTTACATCATTTTTAGGGGTAGAGTTCTGTGTAAGAACAAACAGGCAACCTCCAGATGGGCACCGAATTACACCCACAACTTCCCCCGCACAAACACTCAACTGGATAAAATGAGATTCACCAAAAGCCACAGCTGTTCAAGAGATGTGAAATACAGCTCTCACTAGCCCAACACTTACTTTAAAACCTGTTTCCAAACCCACATTTTTGGGGTCCTGTATCCTGTAAATTTTCTCATTTCACAGAAGTGACCAGTTTTAACCAGCTGCAGTACAAAACCCCAAAATCAGAAGGAATTAAGAAGGTCTGTGAAACAAAGAATTACCAGGAATCGTTCTTCTTTTTCGAGCCAGCGCTGATCCTCCTCCATCTCCTGCTGCTGCCGTATCAACCTCTCCTCCATGAGGTGTGGGGGCAGAACCTGGCTCATCCCACGGATGTCCAAAGTGCCTGAATCCTGCAATCCACAGGAAATCTACTCAGTCTCACAATTTCCAATTCCTATCAACAGGTGCAAGAACTTAGAGATGATAAAAGGAAAGTTTTTTAGAAGCCAATTCTCGGCAGCAATCAAGCAGTTTCTTCAGCTCCTCAAAAGCTGAAGCAGAGCACTGGAAGAAACTCCTTCCAACCCTGGAGTTTTTATCTGCCTTGCTCTTAGTCACTGCAACCAAAAAAGATTTGAAAGATTCTGTTCTGTTTTTCAGCAACATTGTCACTTCCTGTGTTGCACTTCATTTAAACTGGACAACAAAACCAGACTTATCAATCTTGTTTTCTTGGTCTTGAGCAATAATGTAACCATCCAGTTGGTAAAAGCTACAAGATACATTTTTTAAAATCAAAACAAACACACTATTCAGTGTTAGCCAACAGTGGCAAAGCATGTCACAAAAACATTTTTAATGAATTTTTGTCCAAATATTTATGGCTGTCTAAAGCTTACAAAGCATGTCACAAAAATATCTTTTAATGAATTTTTGACCAAATATTTATGCCTGTCTTAAGCTTACAAATACTCCACATACCGTACCCCAATGCTGCCTGGAAGTCATTAGGAAATAGTGTATAAATTAGTATTTTTTAAAAGCCAAGGGAAATTTGGTAACAAATTCTCTGTATTTCAGAGACAACTTAAATGTTTATCAGGAACACAGGGAATAGAGCTGGTTAGAGAAGAAAAAAAAAATTAAGACAGAAGCTGCACAAACTGAATCGCTGTGGAAGGAAAAAAATGGAATTAAAAAGTGTACAACAATGGAGAACAGAAAAAAAAAGACAGAAGGTTAAAGGGGGAATTAATTTGATGTTCCTCAGCAGCTCAGTGCAATCATGACAGGCTGGAGAGAACCCAGAAGGAATTCAGCTCAGGAACAGTCTTTCAGACCCTCTCATTTTCTCTTCTGGGTAAGTAACAAAGAAGCCTCAATCCTTCAGCTGTGCTGGGTATCTCCCAAGAGGTTTTTTTAATGAGTGTTCCCATCTCTGTGAACAGCAGTAAGTTCCAGTAAAGCCTTCTCTTAACAAACACCAAATATTTGCTATCACTCAGTTAGATAAGTAGTAACAACTTTATCACGAATTCATGTGAAGTGACACTTCATGCCCAGCTGTCACCGTCATATTTTCTAAAAATCTCTTTGCCCAGGATTCTTCTGGGAAGCTGAGAAGCCTCAGAGAAAAAGGAAAACAATATTATCTCATTTGCTTCCCCTGTGTTTTGCTGCTCTGGAATGTGGTTGGAGATTGTTCATCCAACATGTGAATTATTTTTGATTTAATGACCAATCACAGTCAGGCTGTGTCAGGACGCTGGAAGGAGTAATGAGTTTTCATTATTATCTTTTAGCCTTCTGTCTGTATCCTTTCTCTATTCTTTAGTATAGTTTAGTTTAGTATTCTTTAATATAATAGAGGTCATTAAATAATAAATTACTCTTCTAAGAACATGGAGTCAGATTCATCATTTCTTCCACAGGGGTCTCAGAAAATACAAGACCCAGCCCATTGCAGTGAGACAATTTTAAAAGCACCAGAAACTCTCAGTTCTCCTCTAACAGATCTACCTAAATAATAAAAGTAATACAATTTACAGTAATAATAAAAAGTGCATTGAAGTGTACAGAACACAGCAGCAGATGTGTCAGATCTCCTACCTCCATGTTTGGCTGCCACACTGGTATTTCCTGAGGCCGATGGTTCCAGGAATCTGTTTGATCCAGGAGAGAAGCCTGCCCAGGATAAATGCTGCCTGCCATGGCTGGTATCCCATGAGAACCAGGGTAGCCAGACACCTTTAGGGGGCACAAAACCCCACAGGGGCAAAACCAAAGAGAAAAACAGAGATATTAGTAAGACCTGTGCTTCCCTATAACGGAAACATCCCCTCCAAGACATGAAAGCACAGAAATGACTCAAAAGACACTGAGAGGAAGGAGGAGAAGCAACATCAGAATAAGGAAGCTGAGCCAAAATATGACACCTCTGTTTTAGGCCTTTGAGGATGCTCATCATAACATAACTATTTTAGAATAACTGCAACAGGGCACAAATACAGCTTTTGAGGAGAAGTATTTTATGGTGCCTATCAAACCAGCAGCTTCAGAGCATGCTCTAACCTCTGCAGGAAAGGAGATCAAAGTCCTCTGAGGACAAAACTCAATCTATAGATACACATGTAAGAGCTCCACACGCAGAGCTCATGTTCCAGATAATAGGAGCCTGCAAACATCACCCTACAGAGCCCCATAAAAATGTCCCCCCTGCTGTATCTTACAGGCTTAAGGCTTGAGTGGCAGCATGTAATTAGTGTGCTGAGCTGAGTGGCCTGGGAACTTCTCCACAGGAAAATCCAAGTAGTTTTAATGAGCCTGAAGTACTTATTAAATCAATGAAAACCTCCCTCTCTTCATGGAAAAAAATCCCCTTGACTGAGACAGCTGTAATATGGCTGGAGCCTTGAAAAACCTAAAATTGCTCGAAGTCCTTTAAAGACAAACTTTTGTTCTGAATTTCTTCAGCAGTTTTAGGAAGAAAAGCAAAACCTGAGAGTATACAACGTGGTGGAGCTAAAGGCAGCAGCTATCAGGACACAGAAAATAAAATACCAATGACCCCAAGGAAAGGCCCCCAGTTAATGCCATTTTATAAAGCCAGTGATTTCACAGCTCAGCACAAATGTCAACATGAACACCACACTCCCTCAATAAATATGGAAATGGCTGATATGTTTCACTGCAGTTTCAGGAATCTGAGCACCACATCAGATGTGGAAATATTTACCATCTGGAGTAAACCTACCAGGCTCAGTTTGGTTTGTTTTTTTTTCTATGTAAAACAAAACTCAGAACTGAACTGAATTCAAATAAACCATGTAAGAAGTGCATCAATCCCACAAGCTGCATCTAAACCCACATTTGTAAAAAAACCAACATGTATGGTATTAAATGTAATACCTGGTAATGATTTGGCTGTACCATGTGCTGTGGGCTTGGATAAAACCCTTCACTGGATCTGGGGCTGGGGTAACCAGGTCTACTGGGCTGTAAAGAAAAAGGAATTTTTAGAATCATTAAACACACACAACTAAACACAGAAAATTATGTTTCAGTGAGACAAACATTTACAGGTTTGGCAAACTTCAAAAAAACTCCAAAACAGATTTTCTGTAATTACAAATACTTTTTTTAAACAATTAAAATTAAGTTTTCGTCCATTTTTGCTTGGCAATGGATGCAGCTGAATTGTTTGCTCAGTATGTCAATAAATAATTCTTGCTCTGTGAATTCTTTGTATTTATTTAATTGCTTGTACTCAATGACCTGCTCTGTTTTGTTACACTCTAGAGAGAACATCATCTAAGAACCTAAGTCTTAAATCAAAATTACAGGTGCACTACAGCCTTGTTTCCAATTTTTGCTGTTATTTTGCTGCTTTTGTGACTGTTCTCAAAAGTAAATTCTTTTGTTCCAGTAAGAATAACACAAACCAAATGGATTTATTTGCATGGCTATTTCCATGTGGTATTCTGAGGTATAAAGTTAGTTCTGATTATTAACTTCTGTGTAACTAATTACCTCAACATGGAAATTGCTTTTGATCTTATTCAGAATATCTCCAAAGGTATAGTTGAGGGTTTCTTTTTGAATTAGGAACAGCCTTGCTGGGTATTTCAGGAGGAGAAAAATTAACCAAAGAGGGAAAAAAACCCCAAACTTCATCATTCTGCAAAGGGCTCTCTCAGTCCTTCTGGCAGTTAAAGGCACCACATCAATTGGAGACTGCAGAATTTATCAATGCTTGATGAAAAAATTCATTCTCATTCTGGACTAGGATGTTTTCTGTCTCAGGATTCTAACAGAAATATCACTGTGAGATACAAGTAATCTCATACAAGTGATGGATTGTGAGACCTGGGAATTGTCTGAGGATGTGCAGGAGCTTTAAGACCTGCAACACTTACAATGAATTCGCAGAAGAATAAAAAAAATCAGTTGTCACATCAGAAAATTAGATAATAATTAAAGAGACACTTAAAGACATACCTACAAGATTCCACTTGTTCCAATGCCATTATTAAGCACATTCATATTTTACACAAAAGAAATGTGTAAAAAAAGTTAACCAACAACAGCATCAGAAATACAGTGTATTTCTACAAGGACATAGCAACCCCCTCAAAACAGATTCTCTCTAGTGGAAGAATTAACTGCATTTTTAACATCAACATAAAGGTGCTCATTTCAAATTAAGCATTATGCTGGTCCAATTTATGCAGTTTATCTGCTTCTGTAACCTGGAACATTGTCTGTTTAGACAAACACCAAATCCTGCTAATTCATCTCAGATGACTGACCAGCTTGATGGATTGTTTGCTGTTTCTAACTCTGAAATGAAAGCAGCAATTCCACTGCCCACATTTTCTATTTGCCATCAAGGTACCAAAATGCAGAACTAAGCTCAGAAATCTGATCTATCAGGCAACAACCTGGAAATGGGAGAGAAAAACACCCCAAAATCCCCAAACAAACACAAACCCTCCCTCTCCCCTCAAACCAAAACAAAAAGTTGCCTTTCTATGAGGCCTGGGTAATGTGTGCAGCACAAGATGCCACACAAGTACTCCTGAAATTATTATCAGAATTATTAATAATTAATTATTATTCCAGAACCAGGAATTCACAACAAGGTATCAGGACACAGACAATACAGTAGTGACTGCACAACAATAAATTTTTCAAAATACAGGCTTGAACTTTCAAGCAACAACTTGCAAAAATAACTCTGAGGGGAAGCAGAGTGAGAGGGAACTGGAGAGGTTGGACTCCCACAGCTGCAGAAGCCATCAGTGACATCCAAACAGGACAGAAATGAAAATGAAGTGGAAACTAAACCACGTACGTTCCTTGGAAACAAACCCCTCATTTTCTGTCCAGAAGAAGGAAAATGCAATTAGCTGACTCCTGTCCTGTCACTAATGTGTTATAAATAAACTTCATGCTGGCCTGAGAGCTCATTAGCCAACAATTTACAGGAGTGCTACAAGCAAGAAGGGAAAGGAAAAGCCAGGAGACAGTTTTGTGGCAACTTTGGAGGTTTTTTTTACAATTTCAAGTAGAAACAGAAAATCTTTAAAGCAGTATCACAGCACAGATCAGTTCTGAGCACAGTTCAAGCAGAGCTGGGTCATTTCAGGCAAAGATTCCCAGATGGGGACAGAAGTGGCCAAAATGCTGTGGTTTGAACCAACCCATCAGGGCAGGCTCTGAAGAAATAAACTGAATAAAAAGCAAGTTTTTGTTTGTTTTTTGTTAAACACACATCATTTGCAGTCTTAGCTACCTTGGGAGGAGCTTCATCTGATCCTCCTGAGTCCCAGGACACCGTGACTTGTCGCCTGGATTCCATTCTCATTCGTTCTTCTTGCTGCAGCTTCTCTTCCTCCAGTATTGTACTAAGGAAAACACAATGCAATCAAGCAAAACTCCAATTTCAGTGACTAACAAACCTCTCCCCACAGCCCTTGCATTTTTCAGACTAATAAACAGTACTTCACATGAAATGCTATAAAATTACTGAGAGTCAAACTTATTGTACATACACTGGTTTTGTGTCTGAAAACCAGTATCAAGAAGAAATATTTCTGTAGGATTACCAGGGTGCTTTTAACAATGAAAACAGCATCAATGTTCAGAAAGCTGTGGTTGATCTCACACACAATTTTTTTTTCCATAACAGTTCTTTTTATGTGCAATTACACAGAGAAGTCCTCAAAGACAATCAATCAAGCACTTACTTGCATGAAAGCTTAATCTTCACAAGAAAATATTCTACTGAACTGCTGCAAAGGTTCAAAACAAACCGAAAATGTTCTTTACTGAAACTCAAGAGCTTCAGATCACTGGGATTTTTTTTTTCTTTTTAAAAAGAAAGCAGTCAAAAATACTCCTTCAGCTCTTACATTTTAGCCTAACCAGGAACACATTCAGCAAAGCAATTTAGCAAAACAGAAAGATCTGACAGTATTCACTCAGCTTCTAAGCATTCAGGTCAAAAGGCTGCATTTTCACAAAGTACAAGACAGCAGTAAAACCAGTTTGCTACTTACCACTGTTCTGACTATTAGAAAGCCTGTTTGAAGCTGAACGTGCTCCTGCTGCCCCCACAGCCAGCCTCCTCCCAGCTCTGCTATGTGGCTTATTAATGTTGGATATTTGCCATTTGAAAAAGACTCAGAGAGAAGCTTTGAAAGAGGGAGCTGCCAATTCCTTGGAGCCGCACGCTACGCGGGCGCTCTGAGATGTGAGCAGGGCAGATTATTTCCATATCACTGTCCCCAGGGTAAAGGCAATCCTGTGGAGGAGCTACTCCAGTTTCTTTATCACTCAGGAGTTTCCAGAAACAAAGCTAAGTTCTGAGTTTATAATCTCCTGTTCAGTCTGCTAAACAACCACCCAGAATTACTCATTCAGGGGATGAGATCAACTCCAGCAATCTATTCTCATCGTGAAACTTCACCGCTCATTTCAAGAATAAATTCCTGCTGGAGACAAGAACTTTGCTTTTCCTTACTCAGCCAAAAAAACCCCAAACTATGCCACTTCTAAAAAGCAGAGAAGCTTGTCTCTCTGCAGCTAAATCAAGTTTATAACTATTGCTGCAATTTCAATCCATCATTGCTGAAGCAACACAAGAATGTGGAACAAAAGCAAAATCAGACAAGTTATTTGTAAAAGTCACCCTGCTAGAACTACCATGGAAACACAGCTACAGCCTAACAGAGGGAATGAAGAGAGAATCATTCTATTTTACCTCTCTTTTCCTTCAGAATAAGGAAAATGCAAGATTTTCTACTTGAACCTATGAAGAACCCCTGCTTTAGAACTATCTCACAATTCAGGTACCCTGTATTTTTATACAGCATGAGAAAGTAGCCAATGAACCATGATTATCATCTTTCAAGAGATGGATTAAAAAACCCCTCAACAAAGCAAGACCAAAAAAAAAAAAAGGGAAAAAAGAAGTTTGCCCAGATTAATGAAAGAGAAATGAATAAAATGTAGGTTTTCAGGTTTTTAACCAAGCTGTTGGTACAGCAGTTGCTCTAATCTGAACAAAAGAATAGAATGGAGTTGGCTGGTAGTAGCTGGCTAAATTTAGAGATGGCTTACTGACAATTTGGGGCCATGTGTGGAATTTGTCACAGCACAGTCCTGGTTTTCCATAAAAAGGAATGAAACCCCAATACCTCCCTTTGCTATCAAAGCCATTTTATCTCTGGTGCCCCAATGTGCAACACCATCAGCTTGCATCACCTGAAATGACAAATTTCTTTTGAAATTGCTTCTTTTTCTTAACACAGGCCCAGCTTTTTGCCTTACAACTGCAGTTCATCCTCCCTGCTCGTGCCATCAGGAGCTTCTTTCCCAGCAGCCCAGAGCAGCCTGGCCAGAGGCTGATGGGCTGCAGCAGCATCTGTACTTGGATGCCCTTGATTCTGCTGACAAGAATATAAAATAGAAATGCCTCAGAGAAGCACTACTAGAAAAAACCACAAGGAATAGAAATGACTCACAGAAAGGTCTTTGTTTTCACAAAGGGAAGACTGGTCTGTGGATGAAGGAAGAGTGTGCCAAGAGATATTTTTGACGTTTCCTCAGTGCAGCTGCTCAAGTTCTCTGAACAGTTTATTAGAATTTGCAGAAGGTCAGGAGAAGTCAGATCTAGGCATATTTTCCCAAACTGCACATATTTTTAGCAGCAAAGAGGAGCAAGCAGAGAATTCTATCCCTGTGGTTCCCCTATCAAACCTTGAGGTAGCACAGACAAATTTAACTTCTCTGCGAGGTGAAGGCTCAAGAAAAACCCCAACTATTAAAAGTCTGCATAATTGACAAACTTACTTAATTTACAAAGAACTTGCTGAAATTGGCCTGTGACAGCAAAAAGGAAACATTTATGGGGACCTTCAGTGTAGGAATATTTAAATTACTAAATTGTATCCTCATATTCCAAAAGGCACAGCAGCACCTGTGTCTCCTGCTACAGTGGTGTGGGAACCTCCATCAAGTGCTGACCCCCAAAAAGCAGCTTCTTTATTTCCCTCTGCCACCCAGAAATACAAAGTTGGATGCAGAGGAACACACTTGCAATACTGTTCTAATATGAAAGCACTTTTATATGGATTATAGACTATTAATGGTCACAAGCAAAGAACAGAAGAACAGCAAAGCATTTTGCAGCCTCCATCATGTATTTGAGGTAGGTGTTAATCTTTTTTTTGTTAGAATGCCATAAAAGAAGACTCAAACTGCCCTCACCCTTACCAATTTTCATTTATAAGCAACATTTCAGGATCTACATCAAATGCAGTGATAAAAAGACTCAGGTCCAGCTCTCATCAGTAAATTATCTCACGGTTGTCATAAAACCAAACTTTAAAAGCATAGTATCAGTCTCCTTTCCCCCCCCCATTCTTTTTAGAGCTGTTTCCATGTGCCCTGCAGCCCCAAGACACCAGTGGGGTGAAGCACTCTGTAAAACCTGTGACCACCAATGGGCCACAGGGACACTGTCACCTCTGCAATGACACAACTGCTCCTTGTTTTGCTATTTGTAGCAGGGCGGGTTCATGAAAGGTACTTTAAACAAAATCTGTTCCAAGGCACAGTGAAAAATGTGATGAAATGACATTAATTTGAAAATTTAAAATACTTTTATATTATTTACCATTTATATTATTTTATTATTTTGCAAGACAAAAAAATCTCTTCTACACAAAACCAGCAGGGCAACACACACTTCCCAATTTAAAAAAATCCTATATTCTAATTCTGATCAAGTCAGAATTGCAGGAGTAACAGGGTAGCACCTCACTGTCCTGACCTAATCTGACTTTTAACCCCCCTCCACCACTTGAAAAGGGGACTTGGAATGCAAAGATAAATTACATTTGGAAATCCACAATCCACCCATTTGTTTCTGTGTTTGCTGGGAAGACTGACTCAACCACATCCACTTCACACAGATCAAATGCTATAAAATTACTACTCTAATAACAGTACTTAAATTCATATGTAGCAACAAATAACAGTGCATAAATTGTGCAGAAATCAGCACCTTTGCCTTGCACAATCTGCTGCAAATTCAGTTTGGGTAAAGCAGCTGTTACTATGAAACAGAAAAAGCACCAAATAACAGAGAGCATGTGAAATGCTTATGCTCCCATCTATGCTATTCCAGATGCAGAAGATTTTTCCCAAAGCCATGAAGGTTTTTTTTTTCATTAAACCAGAGAGGAATGAATGCTGCAGTGCTGTATCTGGCTCCAAGCAAACATCCAGCCTGCTCTCAGCTTAAAGAGACTGCTCTGGACAGCATCCAGAACGAGCAGCAGCAACAGCACAGGGAAAGGCCACCAGGGAAATAGATTGTTTTTGCAAGTTCATGGGAATTTGAGTTCTGAAACCCAATCCTGCCTGAACTGCCTCATCATCAGGGAATTGGCAACATTTCCAGTGAGAGGCTGGCTCTGTCTGGAGCAGCAAAAGCAGCCCTAAGGAAAACCATGCTGCCTAAATTTGGGAGATAAAGGTCACCGGTTTGGTGGGGCAGAAAGTTCTCTGCTTTGGTGGGAACAGAGTGAAAACTGGATTTTAGAGTTGCAGATTTTAGAGTTGCAAACTCTCTCCTCAACCAGGAGAGAGGCTGCCCTGTAAACAAAGCTTCAAATGTCCCAGCACGAGCAGAGGAGCAAACACCCCTCCACAGTGGGTGCACCTTCCATGCAGAATGAGATGAAGGGGTGCCTGCAGGTCTCAGGTCTGATCTCCTACTGAAGCTGGGCTCCCTGCACAGCCAGGGCCAGGTGCTCTGAGCCTTTTCCAATCCAAATCTCAATGTCTGCCAGCATGGAAATTCCAGAGTCTTTCTGGGTGACCTATTTCAGAGCTCACCCCAGCACACTGGGAAACATTCTGATGTGTAACCAACAAGCCCCTGCCTTGCTGCATGCCCTGAGTGCTGGTTCTGAGGAGAGCCAGGCTCTTGGGCACACTGGATTTACTCATCCTCTTTCCTTCCTGGTGAAATACTCTCCCTGCATGGCTTTATACACCACAGCCATCTTCCAGTCACTCTTTAAAGGGCTTCATTCTTATCTGTGCCAAGCAGCTTTAACAGTACAACCTGGCTGCAAATTATCAATCATCCTGTACTTTCAGAGCAAAAAGAGACAAAAAGCAAATGAATTGCCAATTTCCACCTATTACCCAAATCACACAACTGTGCCACATCTTTTTCTTGCAATCCCTGCCCAGCCCTGACATTCCTCCCTTTGTGTTAACTCCACACAGTCAAGAGGATGAGAAATTATCTGTGAGAAGGGTCAAGTCTTTCCTTAGTTCTAGAAACTGTTAGTCTACACAGGAATTCCTAGAGTAACAGATGAAACTGTGTGAAATGCTAAGAATTAGGAAAAAACTTTAAGGTCTTCCAGTTCGCCATACAGCAGCTCTGAGATAGCATCATAATTACATTCAAATTGTCTCTCATTTTAACCACCAGTGAATTATCTTAAACCATGGACATTCAGTGACAGCAAAAACATAATACTATGAAAATAAAACATGCCACAAAGCACAGCTTTGAAACAAAACCTGTAGTCAAAGCAAAGAATTCAACAGTGAATTACAAGAATTCCCAGTGTGGATTGTCAGTGAGCAAAACCTAAGTGTTACTCAAAACTTGCACTGACTTATGCAAAACACATCCTGAGCAGTCATGAAATCCAAATGTCACAACATTTGTGACCCAATTTGTTCACAAATATCAAATGTGCCTGCACATTATCTCAGAGATGTTTCAAAGCTTAAATATCCCTCCCACTTTGGGGCTGGTGAAATCACTGGAATACATTACTGCAGAATAAACTAAGGTGTGAATTTAGACTGGTCTGCAAGGTGTGTGCTCACACTCATTCCAAGATAAACATAAAGGTACTTTATATCCTGGTTTACAAAGGGCAAAGGAATTTCTGTCTATGATGTTGCATTTATTGCAGGCTCTGCAATTGCCCTGTGACAGCTGTGACTGTGCAACTACTGTGCTACATGCCATGAAAGTAACTTCCAACAGCACTAACCTGATGCTTCATTTATTTAAGATACATCTCTGCCCCAGAAGCCCACAGCATGTTTGCTTAGATAATCACTCTAAATTCTTTTTCCCTCCTTCCCCAAGGATTGTAACTAAAATTATAAACAAATTCCAAGTAAAATGTGGAGTTTTTCTTGGGAGAGAAAGGAGGTGATTCATATTTCCAGTTATTTAAATTTGCTGCCTAATCTCATTTTCTCTACCAGATAAAGCCCAGTTTTCCCAAAGACCAGCAACAACCTGGCCATTTGAAGATAAAAACTCCAAACACCGTGCCTCGGATTTTCCACAGAACCAAAACACCGTAACAGAAGATAAAAGTGAAAAGAAATATTTCTGAACAAAGGAAATGACCTCTCAGAAGTCAAACCCTACCTGAGTTGTGCTTTAAGTTCAGTAAACCTGGGTCTCCTGCTGGGGTCGTAGGCCCAGCACTTGGTCATAAGGCTGTAGAGGGTGGGAGGGCAGTTTGGAGGCATTGGGAGCCGCTCACCGTTCTCGATCCGCCCAATCACATCATTGTTCTTCACTCCCTGGAAGGGCTTTACCCCGTGCATGAGGATCTCCCACATACACACACCTGAGGGACACACACAAAACCACCTTTTCTTCACTGTCAGCAAACAATCAGAGCTGCCCAAAGAGAAGCAAGCCCCAGTTTTGTACTAATAATGCAATTTCTGCTAAAATATATAACCAGGGATTTGGTTTGGACTTACCTGCAGCAGGATCACACACACAGCACCAGCCTCACCTTCTGATGAGGCACAGTGACCCACAGACGGCTCACACAGCCTTTTACCTGCCCTAAACCACTGCTTGCTCATATTCAAATCTCCTCTCTTATGAGGTAGAATGTGTTTGCTTTTCCCTCTGACTCCTTCTTCCTGCTCTGACATGTAGAGTGCATTTTCACTTTGAGCGTTTTTAGGGTTGGCATTGATCCACATTTTTTTGTGCTGAAAACGTGTAATAAACCAATTTCTATTAAAACTGCATTAGAAGAACAGCATCTATCACTTTAGAATTGGCCAAAGTGATCCATAGGCTTCATTTTTCCAACTCTGCCAGTACTGGAGTTTTCTTCAAACTGTTATAAATCCTTCACTTAAAAACAGTCAAATTTTAAATTGAACTCTCACTTCATTATCCTGCTCTTATTTCAAGTGTCATCACTTTTGTGTTCAGTCTGTACAGGCCAGCAGTCAGCACCAGTTGGAGCACAGGACATCAGATTATTATAAAATGTTGTATATTTGGGAAAAAAGATCAAGGTTTCAGGACATGTCTATTTACCCTTGTATTTAATGAGCTTCTGGTTGTATTTTTTAAGAGGCCAGGAGCTATGAAAGACAAATTAATTCTTTTAATTTAACATTAAAGAATCTAGCATTAAAGATCTGGAAATTTGGTATCTCACTGGATAATTGCACATTAAGCATGGAAATGTATATCAACATAAAGAAAAAGTCAAAATGCAACAGAGAAACAGCAAATGACAATGGTATAACACAAAAAAACCAAACCAAAACCAACAGACAAAAATAATCTCTGTCATAACTATGAGCTAATTTCCTTGCACTTTAATTTCTCTCAGCTTCTTACCAGAGGTAAAAAATTCATGAGAATTCAGGCCTATTAAGCAGGAAAAGGAAAGAAAAATACAGAGGTGGAAAACACGCTGGAAGAAACTGGATTTTCAGAATTCACAGTAAAAACTGTGAAAAATATTTGGAAATTATTCATTTATAGCAGTCAAAATGAACACTAGGCTTGTCCAAGAGGACACAAAGAACCCTCCCCACTTGGCTTTCACTTACCAAACATCCACACATCACTAGCTGAGGTAAACCGTCGGAAATTGATGGACTCTGGAGCCATCCATTTGATGGGTAATTTTCCTTTGGAAGCTACAGGGAAGGCAAGAGAGGGCAGATTGTTATCCCCACTACAGAGCTCAAAAATAGATTCTGTTCCCAGTGAAATAATTCACAGGCAAAACCAATCTCCAGTGAAGTACTTCAAATATTGATATATAAGCTGTTTGGCTTTACATGAAATGGAAAATGAACCAACAAAACACAAAATAATAATAATAACCCCCCAAACCTCCCTTAAAGACCCCAAAACCAACCCCAAAACACACCAAGAAATGATCATGTCAAAATTATTTCCCCTCTTAGCAATTAAAACAATAAAATGTAGCTCAGCAAAGTGAGACACATAAAATGAGGAAACACAATAGAGTGTAAGGGGACAGATAATGGATAATTTAAAATACATGAAACCAGAAAAATATTAAAGATGAGATTTATGTAGCCATGATTTAATAATATAAACCAGCTTTGGAATGCTACTGTTTGGGACCCAACATGCAATCTTTATTTTCCTGCTGCATTTCCCATCTTTCAGCACTGTAGGACATCTCTCAGCTGCTGGAGACATCAAAGCTCAGGATTCCACCCAAAATGGGGCAAAAGTAGCCTTCAAAAGCAGTTTTGTACTGAATCTCCCTAGTCCAGTGACATCTGAATATGCAGCATGCAGTGACAACACAAACTCAGCACTCATCTGAACCTACATGTGAATTTGATCATCTTTGCACCTTAAATCACACCTTGTGATCCTTCTTCTTAAGCACACATAGCAATTTACTGCCATTAATCAGGTATTGAGTAACTTGCCTTTTTATACAAATGCAGCAGCTAGACCAAGGAAATCTGGTTAATTCCTCAGCAATGTGAGAAGCAAGTGTGTTTTCAGTGCAAGAAGGACCCAGAGGTGCCCTCACCTTTGTAGTAAGTACTGTCTTCCATGTATCGGGACAATCCAAAGTCACCCAGTTTCACACAGTCAGTGGTAGACACCAGCACGTTTCTAGCAGCAATATCCCTGCCAAACAAAAGAAATAATATTTCTAGTAACTTCAAAACATGAAGTGGTGAATTATCAACACCTGAAGAAAATTTATCTCCTTTCCTGCAAAGGTAAGGAACTGGTTTAGGATTGTAGTTCTGTAGGAGGTTTCCTAGTAAGGAGCTCAGGTTCTCATTGCAGGAAACAACAAGATTCCCCTTGAGCCTCTTTTTCTCACCCATTGTTATTTACATGTTTTAACATAAATATCTACATATCTATGCATAACTATTACTTTACATGCAAGTGTTTGCTTATACATTACCACAACACATATATAGAATAACATAGTATTTAAACACAAGTGAATTGCTTAAGTTCAAAATTTACTGTACTTAAGAACTGGAGTTTTGTGAACCCTTAGTTGCACACAGTAAGAGGTTGAAGCCAGTTTCTTCTCATTCTTCTCATGTTCACATTCAAGGGAGTAAAATTCAAAACACACCATGAAGGAAATTTAGGTTCATTTTCTGGTTAAGCAAGTACTTGTATTTTATAAATATTTTATTTCCCTTCCTCTTTACTTAAGAAGCCATCTGCCCTTGTTTTGCTTTTCTATATTTGAATGATTACAGTTGACTCACAGCTTGAAAAAATACTGTAACCACAAAGCAACAACTGAAAATTATTCCGATTGAAATCTGGCACCAGCTCCAAGTCAATCCAGGAGTGAACCAGCAGGTGTCACCCTTGAAAAGGGTGTCATTTCATGGAAACCTCTGCAAAAATGACACTCCCTAAAATGTTATGAGCAGTGACATATAAAAAGAGACAGGTACAGATAAATATTTATGAAAGCTTACCTATGTACAAATCTTTTGCTCTCCAAGTAGGCAAGAGCTGTGCTAAGCTGGTAAGCATAGAGTATCAGAGAGGCCAGGTCCAAGCTGTACTTCCTTACTTGCAAAAACGACCTCAGCTTTTTGCACCAAGGAGAAAAAAAGAGAAAGAAATTAGGACAAGAAAATAACAAAGCTGAAAAAGGCATATTTCAAATTGTGAAGTTTACATGAGTATCAATGGGCATGACTTCCATGCCTTAAAGGCTGGATGAGGTAAAGAAAATCACTTCCCATGAAGATTGTGACTGCAGCAGAATTCAAGCAGTCTTTCTACATGAAAACTGTTAAACTAAAATAAATAACTGTAATTTTGTGCATTCTTTCAGTCTCTTTTTGAGAAGCATTTGCTGTTGCTGTTGCAGAGTGAAGCACTCTTGGACTTTTTGGTTTTTTTTACCCTTGAGTGCAGCCTCAATTTATGGCCTAAATCACTTCAGAACTGAACAGCACCTATTCAACCCAAACACAGATTGATCAGTACTGTTTTAGGAGCATTCATGTTAATAATTAGTTTTAACCTACATGTGCTAAAACAACTGTATTTAGCTCAGAGTGGCCAATATCAGCGCAGAATATTTGTCAGCTTTATTCCCAGTATAAGGCAGGCAGAACCTACTGGAAGGTGGCACTAGAGTGTCCTTACAGATCAAAACAAGGCTTTGAAAAGTGATTTGAACGCTGGAAAGGAAATCTATTAACAGAAAATTACTTCTCCACTATAGGTTTTTCTATCTATCCCTGTTATTTTATTTTGGAGTTTGATAATTGCAATGACAATCATATAATGTTGTATGAAATATCACTGCAGCTCACATTTTCAGAAACGTGGCTCAAATAAAACAAATTGATTATAAAAAGTGAGATCTCGTTTTCTTTAAAGCATTCATCCAAAAAACATAATAATGAGGGAAGTCATCTTATCTAGAGCCCCTGCTGCAGATATTCTACAGGAAAAAAAAAACCAACATAAGAAATTCAATATTTCAAGGGAAAATGCAGCATTATTCAGGAAGAATAAAAGATGTACAGTTTACTTCTGGAAGGTATGTTTGCAAATGCTGTTTAACTGATTATCACATTATCATCATCTTGACAGAGGTCATGCTCTCACTCTGGAACTGCAATTGAATGCTCTGAAAACTCTGACTAAATCACTCTGGAATGAGGTGATGCAGTTCCCCCGGTGGAGGAGAAGGTCAAAAGCTGCCACTCCTGTTTCTGAGTCCATAACTCTGCAAAGGAGTATGATATCATGCTTGATAGCATGTGTTAGAATTCTGAAGTGTTTTTTCAGCCTTTTCTGGGAGCTAAAAGAGAGGAGAGCAGAGCTGCACGAGGATTTCTCCTACCTCTCCAAGTGTACAGAGCTCCATGATTATCCAGACTGGGTTTTCCGTGATAACCCCAATGAGCTTCACAATGTGGGGGTGATCAAACTGACGCATTGTTACTGAAAGGAAAGCAAAGAATTCAGTGCATCACATAAAACCTTTCTTAAAAATAAAAAACCCCTGTTGGTTAAGCATGTAGTCCATGAGCAGGGAGGATAATCACAGACTTTAAACAACTGTTG